AAGAACCATTGGAACAGTAAAGATAAAACTCATTGTACACAGTGTGCGAGTACAATCCAGTCCTTACAACAGTCAATCTGTGATTTAGCTAAAAAACTACATGAATTGAAAGAAAAACTAAAATGTCAAAAAGAGACGATCAAAGCAAACCAATACTGATTGACGAAAACACTCAGACATCAGTCAAAGTTATGAAGAACAAGGAAACAGACGTACATGGGTTGAATTCTGTACCAACAAATTCCGTATCCAGACACACCCAGTGTGAACATCCTTTATCGGAAAAGAAAACAAAATGCACAGCTGATTCTTGTACAAACACCGCATCGCAGGACCATCCTCTACATACACCTCCAAAATCCACAAATGAAAAAAGGAAAAATACGGAAGTAAAAAACTTCTTATTGGCAGTTCAATCCTACAGCGGGTAAGAACCGGAGGACTTCAAAAAGATGTTTATGCAAGAACTAAACTTTCCCACATCCAAGCTAAACTTCTCAAGATAGATGTAGCAGAATACTCCCACATCATCATCATCCAAGCCGGGGGAAATGATGCCTCATCTCATTGAGACATGGACGCCATTGAATATGATGCTGCGGAAATAATTTCCAACATCAAACATCGTTTTCCGGGAACCAAAGTTTATTTTCCCGACGTATTACCAAGACGGGATGTGGATGTGTCTCATGTGAATACCACACTTAAATATGTATGTGATGAATATGGAGGTTCATTTATTTCCAACAAAAGTGAATTCAAGGAGGTTAACCGTATGTATTATTGGAAAGACGGGATTCAACTTTCAGACAAGGGGACGTCAGTGCTTCTCAAACGAATGAACAGCGAAGTTTCAATTCCGCGCGTGTAAATTCCGGTCGAACCAATAGGGATTCCAATGCAAGTTTTTACAAGTCTGTGACTTGCTACTTCTGAAGTGAACACGGACACATATCGCACCACTGTAGACACGGTCGAAAGCTTGATTGTTGGAACTGCGGTGAATTAGGACACAAGACGAAGTCCTGTCCATACATGTACTAGGTTTCAGGCAATGAAAGTGTAGCCTTCAACAACCATACTAAATCTTTATCAAACTCTAGTACATTTTCTATCCTTAGCATTATTTGTAATGGATGTAACAACTTTCCATGTTTATGTGACGATACTGATAACTGTTATAACTGTACAAATTTTAAATTGACAAGAAAACCACATGTTAAAAGTACGACTCAATCGAACACAGATTCTAAAAGTAAACTAAACAAACTATGGTCATTTCTCCTATGGCAAGCTCATTCAAATCTGTTTCACGAGTAAAGAAAACAGTTCCTTTGATCAATAAAAATGATATTCAAACAACACAAAATAACCAAGGATTTGGATTGGTAAAAAAAAAAGGTTTACGATTCGGAAATTTAAATATATGTCATATTATTCCAAAAAAAATGAAATAAAACTATTGTTTCAGAACAGACAAACTCTAGATATTTTAGGTTTATATGAAAAATTTTTGACTTAGCAGATAGGCAACTCTGAATTGAACACTGAGGGCTTTGTTTTTAAAAGAAAAGATCGTTTACTAAAGGCAGGTGGTGGAATTTCAATATACATTTCAAATGAGATTTCATATAAACGTAGAACTGATTTTGAGATCAGTAATATTGAGACAATCTGGCTAGAGATAAATCTGAATAATTCAAAACCAATATTTTATTGCTCTGCTTATCGTCCACCATCTGCACCCTCCTGCTGGGCCGAGGACCTAGCAAGGGAGGTGAACCGTGTCTCCTGCTGTGACAATACTGAAATAATTCTATCAGGTCATTTCAATATTGATTTAATTAAAGACCCCCCACAATACTGGACATCTGCTTTAGAGGAGTTTGGACTTTTACAGATAGTTACTGTTCCTATTAAAATAACAAGTACCTCAAGTACCTTAATTGATCATTTTTATACAACCAAACCAGGAAACATATGTTAAACAAGTGTACCCCTATTGCTATATCTGACCACTAACCTGTATGTTTGACACGGAAAACTAACTGCATACAGCAAAGACGAAAACATACTGAAATGCAATATCCTGATTTTAAACAATTCAATGAAAATGAGTTTTTAAGAGATTTAGAAAATGCAAATTTTAACACTCTTCTTGAACTAAAAGACCCAAACGAGATAATGAATAAATTTTATGAATTATTTAATGATATTCTTAACAAGCATGCCAAAGTGAAAACTAAAAGAGTCAAGACTGAAATTCGACATAAATGGCTTACACAGGAAATAAATGATGCTAGACATTTACGTGATACATACCATCTATAAAGAAATTCAGAAAATTAACAAATTTTGGATAAAGTCACACAATTAATAGATCAAGCCAAATCAAAGTATTACAAATCAGCAACTGAAGAAAGCTCAAGTCCTTATGTGGAGTTATTTAAACCATTTGGCATCTGATTCAAAAAATTTCACACCTACCCGTATAACACAAAATGGTTAGGATTTCGAAGATTTACAGGATATTGATGATATTCTTAACAAACACTTTACGGAAATATCCAGTAAATTATTAGCAGATATGTCAGTACAAAGTTTTGAGTCAGAATTATTAAATCAATTTACAGAAACTAAACTAGAGAACGAATTTTTTCAGTATGAATCAAATAAGTGAGTTTGAAGTGTTTTAAAGTATTAAATATGTTGAATACACTTGATGTAAACAAGTCAGCAGGTATAGACTTGATTGGACCTCGTCTTCTGAAACTTTTGGCAAGTGTTAGATGCAAATCTATTACACATCTTATAAATTCCGGCATCACTAATGGAGTATTTCCATCCTGTTTAAAACAAGCGAAAGCCACTCCTATTTTCAAAAATGGCGACCACGCAGATCCAGGGAACTACAGACCGATATCCATTCTTCCAAGTTTATCAAAATTAGTTGAAAAACACATAGCCAATCAAATACGTAACTTTACCTCTAGCTTTGATCTTTTATTTAAATCACAATCAGATTTTCGAGAATTTTATTCATGTCAAACGGCTCTTACAAAACTTACAGATAATTGGCTACAAGCTATAGACCAAGGAAATTTAGTAGGCATAACTTTCATTGATTTTAGAAAGGCATTTGATTTGGTTAATCATGATATCCTAATAAATAAACTTCAATCATATCCCTTTGACCAAATGGCTATTACATAATGTAGATGGTTTCAATCTTATTTAACGTCAAGGTCTCAATGTGTAAAAATAGGCACATATTCCTCAGATTTTTTGCCCGTCACAGTAGGAGTGCCCCAGGGTTCTATCTTAGGTCCCCTATTATTTTTATTGTATATAAATGATCTTCCCTTACATGTAAATAGAACAGATATTGATATGTTTGCTGATGATGCAACCTTACATACATATCATAAAAATATAGAAGGTATTGAGAATGCTCTAAACTTTGATTTGAATTAGAATGAAAATTGGTGTTCCAAAAATCGAATGGTGTTAGATACCAACAAAACAAAATGTATGCTTATGGGAACTCAACAAAGAAAATCAAAAATAAATTCCCCTGAACTAAATCTATATGCTTTAAACAAATTGATTGAAAATGTTGAATCTGAAAAACTTTTGGGAGTACATATTGATCATTCATTGCGCTATAATTAATTACCATATTGACTCAGTTTGTAAATCTTTGACTTATAAATTGTATACTTTACGCAGAATTAAAAAAATTCTCCCCTTGCACACGAGAAAACTATTTCATAATGCATACATTCTGCCTTTTTTGAATTATTGTCTAACCACTTGGGGTAATGCGCCAGGTGCTGGCATAGAGAGAGTTTTTAAGTTGCAAAAAAGAACAGCCCGGATTATACTAGATGTGGCTTATGATGCCCCTTCACTACCATTATTTGAAAAGTTGGATGGCTGACCGTATATGAGTTGATTGATTTTCATAAATATGTATTACTGTACAAAACACTTCATGGTATGGCACCTACATCTTTAAGAGACTCCTTTGAATTTATTTCTTCTAATAGTTATGTTCTACGATCTGAAACAAACTATGACCTTCATTTACCGAAATATCGAGCAAATCAATTTGAAAATTCCTTTCATTATTCCAGTGTTCATTTATGGAACAAATTACCTTTGCATATATGTTTTTCACTAACTGTACAAACATTTCGTAAAAATGTAGAAAAATTTATAATGACATGCCGCAAGTAAAAGAAATATAATTTCATGTCCTAAAATCGTATATGTAATTGTATTTGTACGTCATATTGTGTTATTTGTTATAATATTGTACAATGCTTTTATAATTGTATTATTGTGAATGTGTTTAGAGGGCCCCGAGGAAGACAAGTGCATTGCACTAATCGGGATACCACCTTTAAATAAAGTATTATTATTACATTATTATTATTATTAATCATCCTCAGGTAGTGCACATTCAAGTTCGTTCAAATCATGACCCCCGGGGGTAGGGTGGGGCCACAATGACCGATCAAAGTTTTACATAGGAATATATATGGAATCGTTAAAAATTTTCTTCTCAAGTACTACAAAGCCATGATTAGTGATATTTATATGGAAACATCCTCAGGCAGTGTAGATTCTAGTTTGTTCAGATCATAACCCCCAGGGATAGGCTGAGGCCACAATGGGGGACCAAGTTTAACCTTTAAATATATTTTAAATAATCATCTTCTAAAGAATAGCAAAGCCATGATTAGTGATATTTATATGAAAGCATCCTCAGGTAGTGTAGAATTAAATTTGTTCAAATCATAATCCCAAGGGTAGGGAATTCGAGGGGTCTCAATGGAGGATCAGAGTTTTACATAGGAAAATAAAGGGAAAAATCCCAATAACAGGAAAGTTATGTTTAGTCGTATTTACACGTAAGCATCCTCATGTATTGAAGATTTAATTTTTTTCAAATCACGAGTACCCTTTGGGGTAGGGGGGGGGGAACGATGGCGAGTCAAATTCAAATTATTACAAAGTAATATATACAAACAAAATGTTAAAAAATCTTTAATAATCTTTTTCTCAAGATCTTTCTCAAGAAGTTATATGCAGTATTGATATGGAGGCATTCTCAAGTAGTATTAGAATTCAAACTCCCTCTCCCACCCCCTCAGTAAACTTTTCAATTCGGATCTGATTTGTGCTTTTTCCTAGCTCATGTGAGCGATGTGGCCCCTGAGACTCTTGTTTCGTATTATACGTTTAACATTTAATTTCAGTCTTCCTATTCAATTATTATATTTTGGATACTTATATATCTAAAATACACATACAGGTATGCGTTACCATGTGCCAAATCAGGAAACGGATCGTTTTACTCATGATAATGCACAGTCTGGTTGGACACAGGAAACGAATAATCTACATGACGGAGAAGGTCTTGGTGAGATTTTGTTTTCTATTCAACGATTCTTGAGAACATCCACATGAAATAAACACTTACAATCATTGAAATTTGAATATTGTATTGAAATGAATAGAAAAAACACTAATTACTTTTTGTTTTATTAGAATATACTTCATACGAAAGAAAAATAAGGGATTTGAAAAATGAGCTACATGCACAACAAGGTATATATTGATTGATGATTCAATGAATGATTGTATGATTGATTTCAGATAAATGAAGTGTTTCCTTCTTAGTACTCAAATCCACAATTTTTCTAAGAAAGATCTCTTTTGATTACAGAAATAATGAATGATTATGAAGCACAAATTGAACAACTTACCAAAGAAAACAACGATAAGTCTGGTATTGATTCATTTTTTATGGAAATATTTAAATTATGTTACATTGTACACAACATGCAAATTTCCCAATCATGAGCTTTTCTGGTATGAGACCAGAAGGCATTGAAATTTAGTAGAATGTCCATCTGTCTATGTATAAATATATAACTTCCACCTTCTTTTCAGTTTCAATAAAATTTGGCACATTACTATTTGATTTTAATGAAAGGTATTGCTTTGCTAATTTTATCTTCAATCTGCATTTGGATACATATAAATGTAATAAATATATATTATTATAACAGTAACTTGATCCGAAGGGTAGTATCACGTCTCGTTGACAGGCGCGGATCATCAGATCAAAAGAGACGCGAAGCGTAGGGTTTGATATGATGATCCGCGCCTGTCAACGAGACGTGATACTACCCTTCGGATCAAGTTACTGTTATAATGATGAATTTATTATATACCCCCTCATACATAGCAAAATATAGCAAAAGAAAACTTTAGAGATCAATTGCATAACATTTATCCATAAAACAAAGCATAACAACAAGGGACTTTTTAACGCGCAAGAATAATAACGTCACATTTCTGCGTACTACGTCATCAGTTTCAGAGAGTGGTGATATGGATTCAGAAAACCACAGTGTGGTAATCCGGAAAATCGGATCAAACTCTGTAAAATTAACAGTAACAAAAACAAGGAAATTGATGGGTATATAATAAATACACATCCTTTGAAACATCATATATGATGTATAACAGATTTCAATAGATATTTTACATTTAAGGAAAATATGACATTTACATATTTGGCCACTTTCTTTCAGATGAAAATTGCAGTTTACTGCATAGAATTCTAGAGTTGGAATCACCTGAAAAACAATTAAATGGTATGTAGACTGTAAGACATCCGTTATTTACTCAGCTTCCATTTCATTTAATACGTCAGTAGATGTTTGTCACTTGATTTTGCTTAATTAACTACATGTACATATGGACATTTTTGGTATGATTTATTGTGTGTGTATTTTTTTGCATAAGATCAAAAACACATAAAACAAATAATCACATTAATGTTTTTGATTATATATAATCCCTTTTTCTTTTTAGAAATAAAGATCAAGGCATCTGAAGGTTTGTAAATATACAAAAGTAAGCTCTTTTAATATACACCTTGGGACTGTTTTACAAAAGAACCTACGACTAAGACCATATAAAGTTCAGTTTTTTTTAATTGCTGGTGTAAAAGTATGTTACTTTTTTCCTATAAAAAGGTTTAAAGATTTCTCAATATAAATGAAACATAATTTAAACTGGAAAGTTATAAGTTTTGGTTTTATACCTTAGTTCTTTCGCAAAACAGGACCCTGATGCATAAGTCCATGGATTTTTGATAAAGCTGTACAAAAGTGACATTTGCCCTCATTGTGACATCAACTTATGACGTGTTTCTCTGTGTATATATCTGTGTTTGACTTTAGACAAAATGGTTTACAAATCTGTTTCTTAGTTTGCTTAGTTAAAACGCAGCAATCGTTAACGTTACATTTTACACAGCTATTTTCTATTTAATGTATTACCACCTCAGTTTTTCCATTATTATGTTAGAGGGCTGTATTTATGCACATTTAATTTTACACAAACTCGCAAAAATAAAACTGAGATTGAATATAGATCTCTGTTTTTATTCTCTGGTTCTTATTCCTTTTTTACAGAGGAGAGTTTAAGGGAGGCTGAAATAGAGAAACTGCAAAAAGAATTAGATTCTATGAATGGTATGCATCTCCTCAGCAGACATGCTGTTTGTTAGTCCCACAATGATTATAAGAATCCATACATTAATTTTTTTAGTTTTTATCTTTTATATGTATTTCACAAATAGTAGATATACTATAACCATCAATGTATTTATTTCATCTTAATTTCGACGTATTTTCTTAAAATTATCAATACGAACAGAATCTCTGAACCAAGAGAGAAACATTGGAGAAGACAGATTAAAAGAAATTCAGAAGTTAAAGGAGGATATACATACTCATAAGACAAGAGAAGAAAATTATCAGCGTAAGTTTTTGCTTTATATAATTATTTTCATTCAAGTAAGGGTATTTTGCTCCTTTCATAAATAATCATGTAATATGTTTTAAAGGCAAAAAGTCAAAAGTCACGTTTGGTTACTGATTGAATGTTTGTCTCTGTTGGTTTTACGCCTTTAAGATGTTTTGAACAATATCGAATTATTGAATTCAGTTGAATGGCAATGCAATGAAAATAAGATTATTAATCTTTCTTCAATAGTTCTTCTTTAATTATTTGATTGATTACCTTGAAACTTCTTTTACGACGAAAGGAACTTTTCTATTTTATTTTTATTCTCCCAAATTTATTACAATTTCTAGAGAAGCTAGAGGAAGCCAATAAAGAGATAGAAAAGTTGAAAAGACAGAATGAAAAACAATGTGGTGAGAAATTTCAAATTATCTCATGCTGTACCTTTAATTTTCCATGGTTGAGTAACTTTATTATTATTATTATCATTATTTTTTTTTTATATAAATTTCTGAGTATTTCATCCTCTCAGATTTTATCCTCTATCATTGTTAAAAATTTTCCCCCTAAACCATTTTTTCAAGATTCATTTCATAGGTGAGTCCTATTATCTATTCATACTTCTTATGTTTTACCAATTCGTTTGATATAAGGTGTTGTAGAACGGCATTGTAAACGTTCTAACAATATATAGAGATTCAAAAGAGACGATATTATTTCAAACAAACTAATTTTTTATTGACATGTTCTCTGGAAGATAATGAAGTGCGAAAAAGTTCTTAGTGATTTCTCAAGAACTGGACTGTATTCACTTCTAGAATTACGAGGTTCATGTTAACTGAATATATGTTAAAAATAGATACTTTTTAACGGAAGCAATAGATATTTATGTGTTTATCCAAACTTCATTTCTTTACAATAATGTATATGAAGATATTATTATGTTTGCAGCAGACAATGGAGGTATTCTTCACAAATATTTAGAAGAAGAAAAGACTGCAAAAAATTATAAAGGTACACTAAACTCTCCTTTTTTATTCTTTTATTCTTTTTACAATACTAACTGATATCTCTTCTTCCGTTATTAATTGTGATTCATATTGATTTTATCGACAGTTTCTTTGGAGAAATTGGAACAAGAGAAAGGGGAATTAGAAAGTCAGCTCCGTTTCACGAAAGGTATGTAACCATTAAATAAAAGACCTATGTATGGGTATTTCCAAAGAAAAGTTGGTCATTTTGTTTGTTCGATTATTTTGTTTGTTTTGTTTTTTACTCATTCTTTTTTTTAGAGGGGGGGGGTATTGATTATAATTGTTTTTTATTAGTAAAAATATTCAAAGTAATATGAGTTTTTTTTTCCCTACATGCATGTATATTTCGTAATTAAGTGAGAAAAGGAGAAGAAGAATATTTACACTGTTTTAAAGAGACTTTGTTTGAAAATGTTAAGGATCACTATTTAGTTTGATAAGTTTGCTAGGGCATCAACGATAGGTTGAAAACATTACAGGCGAAGCCCATTTACCATAAATTATCGCATGTTTTCAACTGACGTAAATGTCATTTGCATCAAACAGTCATATATTTAACATGGTATGTGAATTTAAAACGTAAATATAATACAAGTGGTCTCATATTGATAATAATTATGAAATACAGAAGACATTCTTTAATAATTTCAAAAATTGTCGCCCACTGAGGTCGGAAAAAATGGTAGACACGGAAAATTAACATGCATATAAACGTTTGATCATTTTTGCATTCTATTGTACTGATCAACACGCATAAACTTTCGAAGAATTATCCTAAGAAAACAGATGGGAAATATTAATATAAATTTTTTTTACTTATGGCATAGAAAAACTTGCTCAGACAGAACGTGAATTGACAGTTACCAAAGAAGAGCATAAAGCAGAGAAATCAAAACTAGAGGAAGCATTTCAAGGGTTGAAAGGTAAAGCTTACTAAAAGCGTTTTGGTATATTTATACATGTATATCAAAATGAAAAAGGAAAAGTTTACTCTTAATCAATGACACATGAGTAGTTTATATCTAATAAACTTGGTTTAATTATCAAATATAAACTTTAAAAACGATTTAAGAACATGTAAACTTTAAATAAAATTTATTCAACACTATAGTGTAGATTAAACGAGTTGGTTTGAATTTTCTAACATAAACATACCTTATTTTGTTTTTTAAAAAAATGCTTTTTAACTGAGTGAATGTAATTCTGTAAACTAAATGTTACTTCGTGCTCAGCACTTAAAAGTAAAAGTAGAGTCATCGCTCATATTAGGTAAAAAGTCCTTTTAGATTGATTGATTGTATATTAATTGCTTAACGTCCCTCTCGAGAATGTTTCACTCATATGGAGACGCCATCACTTGCAGTTGGAGAGCTGCAAAGTTTGTTCTATACTCGGCACTCAAGGCAATTGAGCAAGGAGGAATCTTTTTCATGCCATCACCTACTGCGACACGGGACCTCGGTTTATACGGTCTCATCCGAAGGACCGATCTCCACGACCCACAGTAGGATTCGAACCCGCAACGTAAGGATCAACTCCTTACTTTGCAACTCTAGAGCAGACGCTATAACCACTGCGCTTTTAGATGCTACCATAAAATTAAATTGACTCCCTCAATGATATACTTTAACTGTTTTATTATACCGATACAAAAATTAGATATTTTCAAAACCAGTTACTGCAATTTTATTTTAAACGCATTGCAATTGTAAAGGAAATTGAAATGAAGGAAATATTGATTACTTAGAATGTAGATAAAATAAATAAATAAATTCAATAAAAGATCTTTGCATTTAAATCAATTAGATACAAAATAGTATCTGTAACAAAATTTGTTTATATTTATGAAAAAAATTACAATGTGATAAAGTTACGGGATCAGTCGATACCTCTCAGTGCTCATTAGTCTACAAGGATGACGTCATAATAACAAGTAGGCTAACCTTTTCCCGTGTAAATTAGGCCCCGCCTCCTTATATAGCTGCATTATGAATATTCATGGAATACATAGGAATTTTTCTTATAATTAAAAGAAATTGCTATGTGTTCCGAATAGGTGTGTATCAGTTCATCAAACTGACGCACCTTTCTGCAGGGAATCAGTCTTTTTATGGTGATTTTCAGGGAATCGGCAAAATATATCGATTTGCTATTATATAGTGAAAAATCAGTGGAGGTATAATAATTTATGTTAAAACGCATGTAGAGAAATGGAAAATGTATCTTAGGCACCGAATGGAATGACTGTCATAGATAAAATCACTGTTTTAGGGGAAGGGGAAGGTTATATGATTTCCTGGGAAAAAATTTTGATAAAGGAGACATATTGATGCTAACAAATTTTTTTTCAGGCCATTTTCCAAATCTTTTTACCAGTACTCCAGCAGGTACTTATTAATGAAATACTTAATTGATAAAATAACAACATTTATAGTGTTGAAGCTTGGTTTTGATAATTCTAACAGATTTTGCAGGTGCTCCGAACAAGAGTTTTCAAGGCCCTGGATTATTTGTACATGGTATGTTTTCTTTCATATAATAACTTTCATATTATAATAAGACAAACCTTTTGTTTTATATACCAAGAACCCGAACAAGGTATTTGTCCAAATCATATAAAAAATTTTTCTTGTTCTGCTACCATAACTTCTTAAAAATGCACGATAAAGATCCCTCCCTGCTCAAAGGCCGTAAGTGCCGAGCATAGGCCTAAATTTGCAGCCCTTCACCGGCAATGGTGACGTCTCCATATCAGTGAAATATTCTGGAGAGGGACGTTAACAGTATACAATAAATCAATCAATCTTAAAAATCCTGCTGTCAACCGGGGTGGGGGAGGGGTGTTCAAAGTGACTATTTTATTTTAAATAATAATAATCGCTTTATAAACATAAAATACCCCTACTGGTCAAGAGACTACTTTTTAAAGCTGTTATATTTTTTTTTACAGGAACTGGTGTCTCTGGATCCCGGAGAAATTAGCTGCGGATGTGGAAAACTATCTATTTGATGTCGCCCTATATAATTTAGCTATACACAAATTTATTACCAGGGCATCGTTTGAGTGTGTTCAATGCATGAACTCTTGATAAAAGTTCATTTATAAATAAAAAGGACCCACATATTAACATTATGTGACAAAAGTAATAATTATCCATTATGTTAAATGTAGATATCAAAATGTAAAGTGAATCATATGACCACGGAACATTAATTGGCAAGATTAGAGATGTACATATGTCATTCCCATCAGAATTTTGATTTGATTATTTGCTTTGTTCTATCTGTGTGCTCATGTATTGTAATTTTATACTGGAAAAGAATTTTTTATTTTTCCATTTAATTTTTATTTTAATCCTGACAGGTGCATTTTTATTCAATAATAAACAGTGAAGAGGTGGTTTTTTAGTAAATTGTGTTATATGTGAATTAAATATATACTTCTTCTGCTTTAGGAACATTTACTTTAACAATATGGCAGCTTTGGCAGAATTTTTAATATTCATACTGTCTCTTAAAAAAAAACATTTTGTCAAAAACTGAATCGTATTTTATATACGCATTTTTTGCTGAATTTATATGCTTATTTTTCTCAAACATAAACTTTTAAAATGTAACAACAGTTTGAATGTTTTTATTGATACAATACCTGTAAGACCCAATGGGTAAATGAAATACAGAATACAAATATTAATATATCGAGCAGTGATCCATCTTCGAAAAAAAAACATCACAATATAAACATGTGAAAAGGGCATGAGCACGAAATCCCAGGTATTCCAGAGGAGGAACCAGGTGTCTAGAAACAGTAAGTATCAGTAGAGAGCGTCCGCCTTAATTATAATAGTAGCGTCACGGAGTAAGGAGCTGATCCTTACGTCTCGGGTTCGAGTGCCACTTCTGGACGTCGAGAACGGTTCTTCGGATGAGATCGTATAATACGAGGTTCCGTGCCGCAATAGATGATCCCTCACTGCTCAATGGCCATCAGTGCCGATTATAGGACAAAACTTGATTGCAGATCTCCACCGTCAATTGGTGGCGTTACCATATCAGTGAAAATTCTGGAGAGGGACGTTAAACAGCAAACACGAAATCTTTTTGTAATCTTTTCTCCTTTAATTTAAAATAAGACTTTTAACGACAAATGCATAAAATTCGCTTTTGTCAAATTAAATGTGATATCCGTACAGAAAAATTATGAAATGGAGGTCCCAGAAAGCTTTTTTGAATTAGTTTAAGATTAAAAGAAATAAATTCTGCTTCAAAAGAATATAAAAACAGGTCGGTCACCTATTCGCATGGCAAAATTAGTTCCTATCAGAATCCTAACAGTTTGCTGTAAGACTTGGTTTCCGAAGACTACAAAAATTTGGCCAATGAGGAACACCCATGTCCTTTCAATATTAGCCAAGATCACTTTTGTGCGAAATCAGGACGTTAAACAAAATTAAAATATAGATTACCAAATAAAAAATACGAAAATTCTGAGTTGCAGTTTAATAGAATAAGCAGTTGTTGATGAATTTAAAAATCCTTTTTTTCTTTACTTTATCTTGAGGAATTGCTGTTTAAACAGAAAAATGTTGTATGTTATGACATGAAAAGTTGATGATTCTAAATTTTCCAAAGGTTCTTCAATGGAGTTTTAATTTTAAGAATCCACATCTAATTTACAGCACTTATATCATATGCTGTGGTACGGATTTTAAGAAGATTAATTTTAATCCAGTATATATTTAAGATAGGTCGATATCACTTTCAATTGCTTGAATGTTAATTTTATTAAAGGTTGTCATGCGGTTTTAAAGATTATCATGTGAATATTGGGTATAGTAAGTGTTCTTTGTAATTAAGTCCGGTTGCAGCAGCATAAATAAATAGGGGTGATCTGACTCCGTCCCTCTTTCACTACATATATATAGCTTCCATTTCAAACACCAAACATTGTTCGATTGACATTAAATTATGCAATTGGTTAATTGGTTTTGATAAATTATTTTTTTTTCATCATCTCTACATATATATATATATATATATATATATATATATATATATATATATATATATATATATATATATATATATATATATATATATATATATATATATATATATACATATATATAAAACATAAGCGCTTTCATTTCTTCTTCATGATGTTTTACAATACTCATGGTAAAACATCATGAAGAAGAAATGAAAGCGCTTATGTTTTACTCGTTCTCTGTGTTTTTATTTATTTAAAATAATTTTATATATATATATGTGATATTATATATATATATATATATATATATATATATATATATATATATATATATATATATATATATATATATATATATATATATATATATATATGGTGACGCCAAACCCCGATGGTCTGCGCCAAACCCCGATGGCTCGTTGTCTTTACGGACGCCAAAGTCCGATGGTCACGCCAAAGTCCGATGGCTCGTTTCCTATGAGACGCGCGACGCTAAAGTGCGATGGTCTGACACGCCAAAATCCGATGGTGCGGAGGAACAATTAACGTTTATGACGTTACAATAGTTCGACACTGCACTCAAAATCCATTGATTCAGTCTCACATATACGTTTTTACTGATATTGCATTTGGTTTTCACCGACCAGTAAAAGTGAATTTCTTTGTGCTTTCTATATTGATATTTCTTCACTTAGGGCAGTTATGTTAGTTTAAGAGTTGTTGTAAAATGTGCTTTATATATATATATATATATATATATATATATATATATATATATATATATATATATATATATATATATATATATATATATATATATATATATATATATATATATATATATAAAGTAAAAAATAACAGAATGCCGATTAAAACTCTACCGGTTTCAATTGTATCATCAGGAGTTTGACATATTGCTATAGATACAAACATTTCAAAGTATATTGTGACGTCATGTAACGTCAAAAGTGTTGCGCTTTAGTACAGTTCATTGTGACGTCATTATGTTACGTTATTACGTTAACAGTTAGACAAATAATGCGGGAAAATTGTAAATTGTCTATTATGACAGGGCGTTTAGCTTTGGTTTAAACAATGAAATAAAATGTTTTTCCTTGGTTTCACGTTCCTTTTCGGAAGTCTTGTTATAGAACTTGTATATAGGAAACACTGTAAAATTAGGAAAAATGTTTTCAGCACATGTTCTAATATGTCCGCTCACGGCAGTGCACTGGTATTCAGTTTGACGAATTTGTTGACGATGGACGGTCATGCGGTGTCTTAGGGTGTCCCCGGTTTGGCCAATATAATGCTCGCCGCATCCTGAACATGTCATGACATATATCAAATTTGAACTTTCGCAGGTAAAAGAAGAATGAATAACGAATTTTCTTCCGTTTTTAAAAATAAATTGTTCGGTTTCCTGTAAAAAGGGACAGGTTCCACATCTTGGATGATGACATTTTTTAACACCGGCTGTTTCCTCTGTATTGTTAAATTTGGCTCGTGTTAAAATCTTCTTTAAGGATGGGCTCTGTCTTTTACTTTTGATCAACTGAAATTCACTGAATACGTCTTTCATCCTTGGATCATTCTCTAAAATTGGCATGTTGGTTTTGATGACTTGGAAAAATTCTAGATTTTTTGGATTGTGTGTAGATACGTAGGGAATGAGATTTTTTACGGGTTTTTCTTGTATCTGAAGTAGGCTGTTTCTGTCATGTAGTTTGGCGTTGTCTATTCCTTTTTCAATTAGTAAGGTTGGATAATGCCTTTGTTTTAATAATTCTCGTAACTCATCAAGTCTGACATTTAAAATATCCTTGTCCGATATTATGGTACAGAGTCGCCTAGCTAAATTATATGGAATGTTGTTCTTGATGTGTTTTGGATGACAGGAATCGTAGAGAAGGTATTGTTTTGTGTCCGTGGCCTTGTAATATACGTCAGTTACGATTTTCCCTTCTTTTTTCATGACCATAACATCTAAAAAAGGTAACTTGTTTTCGTCACTCTCCATTGTAAATTTTAAGTTGGAGTTCATGCTGTTTAAAATATCATAGAAACTTTGTAATTCATCGGTAGATTTGGTCCAGATTATGAAGCAATCATCCAAATATCGTTTCCAGGAGTTTCGAATAAAATGTTTGCACTCAACACCAAAATTTTCTTCCACGGTTTTGTATAATTTTTCCTCAAGGTATCCCAACGTAAGTGTGGCATATGTCGGGGCAACCTTGGTTCCCATAGCTGTTCCAAGTTTTTGTCTGTAGGTTGTTCCATCGAAGTTCATAAAGTTATTTTCCAATATGAATTTTAAACTTTCTAGAATAAACGTTTTTGAAAAACGAAGTTGTAGTAATTCTGGGAATTCATCAATCCAATGTTCAATTGCTTCTAGTCCTAGTTCATGTGGGATGTTGGAATATAAGCTGGTCACGTCAAATGATATGAGCGTTGAATCAGTTGGAATATTGTCAGGTAGTGATTTTAAAAAATCGATAGTATCCCTTATATAACTTTTTACCTTTGATACATATGGTTTCAAAAGTATGTCCAACAGGTTGCTGATTCTATGTGTTTCACAAGATGGCCCTGCTACTATCGGTCTTAGTTTTAAATCCTGTGGGTTTGGAGTGCATATATAAGTAGAATATGATTCCTTACACAATTTGCTTATAATTGCGCTTTTGTGAATTTTGGGTAGTCCATAAAAATTGCTTGTTTTTACTTCAAACGATAACAGATAGTCGATTTCTTTTGTAGTTAAATCTTGTCCATGCTCTGCAATGATTTCACTTAATTTCTTCATTATATTTTTAGATCGATACTCTGTTTGTTTTTCATAGTATGTTTCATCTTCAAGTATCGAAAGGCATAAATTTTTATAATAATCCTTATTCATCAGGACGACTGCACTACCCTTGTCAGCTTCTTTTATAATAATGTTTTCATCCTTCTTTAAATTTTCAATGGCTGTCCAGTCTGATTTTCCTAAATTATTCGAAGACTGTTTTCTCTGAACATTGTCTTTGGGGTATTTAGAAACATGTTCAATGAATTTATCCAGGTTATAGTTTCTTCCCTTGGGTGGGTTAAATTTGCTCGGATTTGAAACAATAGACTC